AGCTAGAATTCATTAAGAGTTGACATATTTCTGATTTGTATTATACTTTCTATTAGAATTAGGGGAATATTTTGCTAGAATACATGCAGAATTCTTGTAACCTCAAACTTAATTACTTCAGTACAAGGTTCATTTTTATATAGCAGCAAATTTGAAAGTGTTACTTGGGTTTTAAATGGTAGAAGGATTAACAAAGAGCTTTCTTGAACCTAGAGTGATTTTTCCTATTGACACTTCTCTTTTTATATGGGAAGGACAGGTAATGCAGTGTGGAGACAGTAGGAGGTGAATTTGAGGCTTTCAAATGGCAGAATACCCTGTCTGAGTGAAGGAAAGTTTTGGGTTGGGCACTTTTATTTTTTACCCTGTGACAGTTTAACACTGGGATTCTAGTTCATGTTTATTAATTAAGAATACCCATTTCCTCCTAAAGTATTTAGAGAGTTTGGGTCTTAATGTGAGAGCCAAAGATGATGCAAGTCTTCCAAATACTTAGAGACGGGGTGTTCTTAGCACATGGCTGTTAGGTAGTGTTGAAATTGTAGTGAACAAATCTTTCACAGCATTAAGGCTTTTATTCCTCACTGTTGGAGAATGACCGTACATTAGTTGGGAAGGCACAACTATGTGATCACTGTGCTTTTGAAGATATTACCATAGGTGATTGTTCTGACTTTTCCAAAATTAATTTTATGAATGGGGGCAGTGGGGAAATTACTAATGCTTAAAATTAAGTTGGTTCTTCCATTCAGTCTGAGTAATAGAGAGCAGGATTTGGCTCTTCTAATTTGCTTAGCACCTCTCTGTTCATGCCAACATATACAATAGAAGAGCATCCAAACTTATGGCTGAAGAAAGAAACAGCAAAGTGAAAAAACTTGCAGATGTCCCATCTGTTTGTCTCATTCAGTGATGTGGAGATACTCAGCCAACCAAGGGCTTAGGTAGAGGCTTCTGAATAAACTTTAACTCTTACTGCTTTTGAACAAGAAGTTTGTTGTCTATTATATTTTTCCAGGCTTCTAATTGATGAACCTGGAAAGTTTAGTCTCCCTGCACCTCTTCATTTGCTTTTATTATGAGTTAGGAGTAGACACATCTTGCTACCGCTTGCTACTGTTGAATGTGTAGGTTGTAGACTGCGACTGAAATTGTAGTACTGTAAATGGGTTGTGCAACTTCTTATTTTGGAAGGTGTGTATAAATTTAAATTTCTGTAACAGCTCTTACAAAAGTAGCTGATTCTAAGATCTGTGCATACGAGTGATTGAAGATAGAACAGCTTTGTAGCCTCCAAAACCAGGGAAAAGATTGTGTACCAAACCAAAAAGGCATGAAAAGGTTACTTGCCCTTTTTGTTGCACATGGTTTCCCACATCTTCCTGCAATAAGAACACTTCCTAATTGTTGTCATCATCAGCTTGCTGAATATACAGGCTGAATTCTGTTCTTTTCCATTGAAGATCAGCTCTAACTTCAGGGCAGGAAATAACATTGTATAGCAAATCAAAATTATTGAATGATCCCATGATTGTGGTAAATGTCTAAATCACTGGTTTTATGTCAGTTCCCCATCTTTGATTTTGTTCACTTGAATAGCTTTTAATTTTCTTTCAGTGAAATACGACATTAGTTAAAAATTTGTGTGATATCCCCATTGAAAGAAAGAAGAGGTGTGAATAGGCTTTGTATTTGGTAAAACGAATTTTAGCATTTTTGAATACTGGGATCAGTCAGGAGGAGAGGATCTACCTTGTAAGTAAGTGTGTTCTGATAGAGATGGCTTCTGCTACTAATCTCTTTCTTCTATTCCCCAGATTTTTTATTTTTTTTTTAAGTATACTTCACTTCATTACATTAATGCACATTTTGTGCCTTCTTCCATTCTAGGACTTCTAGAAAACTTACTATGCCTTTCTGAGTCTGAAAGAAATTTATCTGCAAGTGGTTTTGTATAGTAGCATTGAGGAGAGAAAGAGTGGTGACATGTTTTTGTCTAAAATGGTAATTGGATTCTCAAGTTCATGGCTTATACTGGAAGTGGACCAGACTCTTAACCTCATCACCCAAAGAAAACTGGCTATATGTATATTTGGCTGGACCACTCAATACTGAGGAGTATTTACTCTCCTTTTTCATCATCAATTGTATTTTATATTTTCGTGCTTGAACGGAAGAGATGAGGAAGTAAACTGCCTAGATTTTTTTTTTAAGCTTATCAGCATAATTGGCAGCTGTGCTCAGGGATAAACTATGTTGTTTTGATGAAACTTTAAAAGCCTGTCTTTGTTTTCTTTCTCCGAATCTTCCATCTGTTAGAGCATGATTTTAGGTGCAGCTTGCTTAAGCTCTTGAACTGTAGACTGCAGCTGAGAGCTCAGTGTGTGACTGATGCTTGGGATGTGCATCACTGTGTGCCTGGCAGAGGAAAGTGGTGGCACTGGAGGAGAGTGAAGAGTATAAAATGTCATTAAAAGTTTAGATGGAAAATTGATGTCAGTAACAAGTCTCAGAAGAGTATAAATTGTTGGGGAAGTGGAGAGATTTAGTTGGGATTTTTTGGGGTGGGATTTGTTTGGTTGGGTTTTGTGGTAGTTTTTTTACCATTTGAGTATCTAGGAGAACGGGTATGTGTACAGATAGCTTATATTTTTGGTACTGTACCACTTGCTCCAGAAACTGTCTCTTCTCAGTCCTTGCTCTGGCCAGTATACTTTTAGCTACCCGTCTGTGCACTTTCTTCCTTTGATTTCTTCTCCAGGGTGTCAGGGCAGAGGTGCTTTCCACCACAAAGTTTCTTTTCACAGAATCACAAAATCATCCAGGTTGAAAAGGACGTTGAAGATCATCCAGTCCAACCATTAACCTAACACTGACAGTTCCCAACTACACCATATCTCTCAGTGCCATATCGACCCAACTCTTAAACACCTCCAGGGATGGGGACTCCACCACCTCCCTGGGCAGCCCATTCCAACACCTAACAACCCCTTCTGGAAAGAAATGCTTCCTAATATCCAGTCTAAACCTTCCCTGGTGCAACTTGAGGCCATTCCCTCTTGTCCTATCACTTGTTACCTGGTTCAAGAGACTCATCCCCAGCTCTGCACCCTCCTTTCAGGGAGCTGTAGAGGGCGATGAGGTCTCCCCTCAGCCTCCTCTTCTCCAGACTAAACACCCCCAGTTCCCTCAGCCGCTCCCCGTACGACCTGTGCTCCAGACCCTGCACCAGCTGCGTTGCCCTTCTCTGGACACGCTCGAGTCATTCAATGTCCTTTTTGTAGTGAGGGGCCCAAAACTGAACGCAGGAATCGAGGTGCGGCCTCACCAGGGCCGAGTACAGGGGTAAGATCCCTTCCCTGTCCCTGCTGGCCACGCTAGTGCTGACACAAGCCAGGATGCCATTGGCCTTCTTGGCCCCCTGGGCACACTGCTGGCTCCTGTTCAGCTGGCTGTCAATCACACCCCCAGGTCCCTCTCTGACTGGCAGCTCTCCAGCCACTCCTCCCCAAGCCTGTAGCGCTGCTGGGGGTTGTTGTGGCCCAAGGGCAGCCCCCGGCATTTGGCCTTATGGAAACTCCTCCAGTTGGCCTCAGCCCATGGCTCCAGCCTGTCCAGGTCTCTCTGCAGAGCCTCCCTACCCTCAACCACTAGATCATCAATAAAGATGTTAAACAGGAGTGGCCCCAAAACTGAGCCCTGGGGGACGCCACTCATGACTGGCCACCAACCAGATTTAACTCTGTTCACCACAACTCTTTGGGCCCGAGCAGCCAGTTTCACCAGGAGAATTCTGTGGGAAATGGTGTCAAAGGCCTTACTGAAGTCAAGGTAGACAACATCCACAGCCTTTCCCTCATCCAATAAGCAGGTTGCCCTGTTGTAGAAGGAGATCAGGTTTGTCAAGCAGAACCTGCCTTTCATAAACCCATACTGACTTTTCTGGAATGTGTTTGGTTTTGTGAGTGGTGGGTTTTGTTGGGTTTTTTTTCTGCCTGTAACCACTGAACAGGGTATAGAGTTCTCCAGCAGCATGCAGCCCCCACCTGTGAGTAATGGCTTTTTGTCCCAGAAGTTACTGGCAGCATGGCCAGGGCCTCCCTTTTGTTATCCTCCATCTTCGTCATAGAAGTAGAACATTTTGTGGTCTGAAATTCTGTTTGTGGCTGCCACCTTTTGACTTTAATGAGTAGATGGGATAACCCTTAAATTAGTATGAACACTTGGAAGCTGCCTCTTTCATGCTTAGAGCTGTATCACTGGCTGTATTGCACGACAATTTGCAATTTACTGTCTTAAAAAATGCAAGTCTGACTTGGAGCAAACTTCAGAAGCCAGAACAAGGGATGTAGTTATGGACATAAACCCAAGTGAACTGTGGTAAAGCAACTTGGAAGTGGTTTTATTTGCATTTGGAATACATATAGTTATGGATGCTATATCGTAGCACTCAAAATCCTAGTATTTTCGAGAGTCAGTTCTGTTACTTATTAGTCTTTTCCATTAAGCTGGAAGGATCTGTCATGTATCTAAATCACCGATAGCAAACCACTGGCGTTAGTGGGTTTGGATTAGACATTTGGACCACTATGGATGACGATGGGCTATCATTCTCTGTAGGATATATCTGGCATCATATACTGAAGAAGTTCACAGTTATTTTCTAAATGCCATCAGTGCAAAAGACAAATCTAGAGATGAGAGGTAGAAATCCTTGTTCCATGGAGAAGCTTTCCCTAGTACCAAGATTTCACTCCCAATTCTTCACTTCCTAATTCAAGCATTGTCTAATAGTCTCTTGTTCCAGTTTAATGTTTCAAACCTTTATGACTCTGTTAAGAGTTGGATTGGACCACTGAAACCTTTTTATTCATGTGTAGCAGCACATCCACCATTTATACTAGTATAGGTTATTGCCACTACTCTTATTTTAAAAAACATATGGTTTGGCTATGTTATAGTTTACTGATCTGGGCTCTAACCAGTAATGTTCTTTTTCACTATAGAGCTGTAGTAAGTGCTTCTCAAGTTAGAAAGCAATCCAAGGAATGAAACTGTATTGGAACAGTAGGCCTTATTTTTTTCCTAAGAAAAAAACTCAGATAATTCTGTCAGGCTATGAGAATTTATCTATCACAGTTCATTAATGCTACCAAACCCTATTTTTAGATTTTCCGTAGAGTTAAGAAATGAACGTATCCATCTGAGCTGCAGAAAGAAGAAACTTCTTCCAAATGTGTTTTTGCTTCCAAGGCAAAAAATCTTGTCTCAGTGGGCCAAGCAAAGCCTGCTCATACTGTTGGCAGCATTTTAAAGGAAAATGGTGCTGATGAAGCTCTGTGGACAACTGTAAAACTTTCACTGTAACGTAAAAGGGGGTCTCTTGCAAAACTGACCAAACTGGAAAAAAAAAAAGCGACCTCTTAAAGAATAAAGAGGTCCTTTTCTATACCTTTCTATAGGAAATGCTGCTTGTGCTTAAAAAAATAGTTTTGTAAGTCAGTGCCCTGCTGGCTACTACTTTGTTCCCACTGCACTGAAAAAGGGAGCTGGGTGCAGGAAGGAGACAAAGTGGGAATAAGGAAAGAAGCTGGAGGGAGAGTTTGAGTCACCTCACATGAAACAGATGAACGAGAATGAAAAGTTGCAATGTTTTAGCTTTCAAAAAGCTGTATTTCAAACACTACCTGCTTCATCTCAAGCTAAGTAGAGCACTCAAAAAATCATAAAAATAGCTGATGAATAAGAAAAAGGTGATGGGAAATGTGCATCATTCCCCTCCTTCCCCATCCCTCGTGCTTGTATTTAAACCCCGTGCAGAGGGTTTGTTACTCTGCCAAGGAAAAGCATTGCTCTGGACTTCTCTTCTAAAACAGCTAAAAGGAAAGGTTTGTTCAGTGTTACATCCAGGAACACCACGTTTTCCTTCTGTTCTGTGGTGTCTTCTGGCTGATCGGTTCCATCACCAGTCAGTTTGAGAAAGGCTTTATTTATTACCTGTAAGGCAAAATGGATGAGTAACTCTGGAGACATTGGAACATGATAGTGAAGAGACAAATGAGAGTTTGAGTAAATGATAAAACACATGAAGTAATTAATAACTTAGATCAGCCGTAAGTGACACAGGATAGACTCTATGGATGTTTAAGAAAGATGTTGGAGTACTTGTTCCTTAGTCCCTAAGGGATGGAGGATTATCCTCAACAGCCCGGTAGCTGCAGCCTCTGTTACACGCTCCAGCTCTGGTGCCTGGATGTGTGTGAGCTGGAGGTGGTAACGAATGCAGTCTAATTTGGATGTACAGCGCCTAACACACTCAGATCTCAAACTTCGATCAGTGTTGCATGTTGTGTTTGCTGCAGTGATGAAATTTTAATATTTTAAGGCAAACCTGTTGCTGCTGATAAGTTAATCTAAGGAATATTCACATCGTTCAGTCATCTTAAAAGTGCCCTACTGAGCATGTGTCCCGCATGGCTCTGACTGGTTTGTTCTAGGTAAATTTACACAGTTAAAGAGGCTGAAACTGAACAGGAGGCATATTTTTTAAGTGCCGGTGATGGGTACTGTACCTTTCCAACTGTTAGACTGATGTTGCTTATTTTACTGAGATCTGCCCCCTTCCCCAGCAGTGCAGGCAGTTTCATATCTGCAAGAAGCTCCTGTAGATCAGAGCTGCCTTCTATTGTTAACTCTGGCAGTCTTAATCTAATTTCTCTGCAGAAAAGAGAGAAAGAGAAAGAGAAGTGAGTACATGCTCTCCGCTCTGTGTGGTGTTTGGGCAGTCCTGGGGAATGGGCATGTGAAAACAGCTGCAAGAAGTGCTTAGTATGTGAGGACAGACAACTACCAGGGGCCAATGGGCATCACGTTACTGTTTTCAACTAGGAAGTCACCCTAAATCTGCTCTGGGCATGCTATTAAACCCCAGACTATCCCATTTCACGGGCCCTGTGTTGTCAGCTATGGAAAGGCACTTGCTCGTTTCTTTGAAATACCCCCAGATAAAACGTTGATCCCACCAAAGTCGAGCTCCCTCAGAGTGACCCCCACCCCTGGGTTTGCAGGTGTTTCTCTTTGTGCTCAGCATTAAAGCCTACCTGGCAGGATCTGACCTGCCCATTGAGCAGGCAGGCCTGCCAGGAGCACCCTGTCTCCTTCACCCCTGGGGGAGGGCACGTGTGCCCAAGCCCTACCTTGGGGACAGCTGCTGAAGCCAGGCTGAGGACTGCAACGGCAGCTCAGACTCCACCTGTGCCAGGTCACTGCCATTGATGGGCTGCAGCAGCACCAGCAGCGTGGTCTTGCTGATGGGGACTTCCACCACGGAAAAAGTCCCACTGGCATCAGCTTTGTATTTGAATGTCCCTGTGACTGACAACATAGGGACCAAGACCTTCATGTTTGAATCCACCCAGAACTCCTGAGGTTCTTTGAGCCGGGAGGCTTGCTCGATGTTCACTGAAAAACAGATTGAGAAAGATCAAATTGATTCTTCTCTTCTACACTCCTCCCCTCCGCCCCTTAGCTGGTATATATGTTTGTTTAGAAACAACAGACTGTGCATTAGACAAGGGCTCTGTGTATTAAATCATGTTTGGCTACTATAAACATATTTATCCTGCCTTTAATACGCCTTCTCGTAGCATCAGGCAGCAGCTGGTGCAGGCTCACAGCACAGAGACTGTGACTGTCAGGACTGCAGCCAAAGCTGCTGTATTTCTACTGACTTTGCGGTTTCTTGGGCACGGTTTTTCTGCTTGCTTGGTTGCCTGCTTTCTCATGACTGCCGCATGGCTCCCAGCTGCCTCGTAGGCCTGTGCACAGGGTCTGATTGGATTTCCTCTCCATCCTTCAAGTGGCGGTGATTGCAGGTTTGGGAGCTCATCCGTCAGGGCCAGCCCTTACTGCAGGAGCACTCTCAGGTGAGCTCAGGAGAAGGAAGGCAGCACAAGCTCTGGCTGAGGTCTCACCCTTGGCGATCTTATGAACCAAAGCAATGAGGAAGGTAGTAAGCATAAAGCCAAAGTGTTGATTGAGCCGAGGAGGTTAAAAAGGACATACCTGAATGCTTGCTAAACCTTAATATAAATTTCTTACCCAGTTCACAAGTATGGGAAGCCTTGCTCTCACCTCCTGCTGCTTCTGTGCAGCTTTGCCTTTCAACATGTTATCTGCTCACTGCCATAGATCAGTGCTGCTGCCCCATTAGGCAGATAATCCTGTTGGCATTAAAAAAACTACTGCCATCAACAAGAAGGGCAAAGATCAGAAATCTTGAAATTGCTCTTTGGTGGAATTAGGGAATTAGGAAAACAGATGTATAAGTTGTGTTAAAGAAAGGAACATCCTGCATTAAATTAATATTGGTATAAAGATAGGAGCTGGTCTAGCTGTACTGTTAACTAGTCCATTCTCCAATAAATCCAGATAAATGCTGGACCCTAACGTATTTAATGTGTAGTAAGTGATTTTGCATAGGGACACTTGCCTCTTAAATGAGCTTGCATAAAATGAGCGTTTAGGCACCTTCACCTACTAAAACTTCACCAAAAAGAAGCACCAAGCAGGACATGTGACAGGTGTAAGCAAAACAAAGAATAAGGAAGTAGAGTTGTTCACCTTTTCCTTATTTTATAAGAATAACGGATGCAAGCAGAAAGAAAGGAGCCACTTTCACAGGGTCTGTATAACCTGAAGAATTTATTCTCACAGGATGGCAAAAGTCAAGACTGTAACAGTTAAATAAAAAGGGGGGGGGGGGGGGGGGGGGGGGGGGGGGGTGGGTGGAAAAACATTCAGATTGCAAAATTTCAATGATCTGCTACTGACTTTGGGACTGAGTCCATTAATACCGTGCTAGTCATGAGCCATGACTAATCAGCACCCCGGTATTTGAAGTGGCTCCCTGTGGCCTTCTGCTGGTTGAGGGTCTGGACATCTGTGCTCTCAAGTGTGTAACTAGGTGTGTACTCCCCTGAAAAGTGCTGTAAAAGCTATTAGTTGTCTTAATATGACTGTTTCTTACAGCAGTTTTTTAGAGTACGTGAGAGATGTAAAGCAACGTAAAGCAACCCTGCTTCTTCCCTCAGACACCTGGAATGTAAAAGGAAAACTGAAGAAAATAAACAGAACCCCTCTACAGAAGGTGATAGCTGACACACTGGAAGAAATGTTTTCTTACAGTGAGATCTTTCATATCAGGACACAGAAGCTGTGGAATTGGGTAACCTTTCAGCAGACACACCAGAGCAGGGAAGAAACCTGTGTCTACAATAATAGGGAAGATAAATGAAGTGAAAAAGGTTGTCAATCACAGAGCAAAGATGTAGCCTGGAAGGGTAAGAGAGTACTCTGCAGTACTGACTTGGGAGTATAGGAAAGCAACATTGGACTTCTCTGCTTCAGGTGATGATCTTCATGTTCTGTAATACAGGCTTTATGCCAGCCTGACAAGCTTAATGAATGGATGACTTTCTGTGGAAAGCTATAACTTTTTACTTAAAAAAAAAAAAAAGCAAAAAGCATCCTACCAAATTTCTAGTTAAAACTGAAGTTGTTGAAGGTTGTCTGTTCAGAAGAGAGTTTAAATCTGAGAAGGTAAGGGTGCAGTCCCATGGTGCTATTTTCATTCACTAGTTTATAATTATTTTGCAACTTAAAAAAAAAAAAAAATTCAGTAAAATCTGGACCTGATGTTCTGCATTGGAGGGCAGCCCCTGCTCAGCAGCAAGTCTACAAATGTGAAAACAAATATGTGCAAGCAAATAGCAGTTGAGACCATTGGAACATTTAGCTGTTGTTCTGTTTGGATTTCTGTAGTTTTATTAATCTTATGGCTGTTGATAGCATCTCAGGAGCATATATAATGTGTTTCAGACCAAAATACATACTTTTTCCTTTCTGCAGCTATAGGAACAGACACAGAACATGACAGCATGGCAAAGCAAATGCTGAAGTCATCTCCTGTGTTTATTAGAAGAGAGTTGTTTAATTCATTTGTTCTTGAGCCAATTTTCTTCATCTCACATGTGGGGACTGCAACATCTCAAGTGCACTCTTCTGAGAGAGAGGAGGTAGTAGACTGATCCAGTGACTCAGACCCTTGAGTATGTGTTCCTAAGCTAACAAAAATACAAATTTTCAGTACAGAAGAAGAAAAAATTGGTCTGCTGAAGGAAAACTGCTCTTATGTCTATGCCTAAATCTGTAACACAAGAATTATTTTTGCAGTATCATCTCTATGCTACACCTTACACTGAAGAGAAAGCTGATGCTCACAGCTCCCTGAGGAGTTGGGATTGGGTAATGACAGCACCCATGAAAGGCAAAGAAAACCTGATATCCAGTTTACGGGTGAGAAGATGAAGGCACAAAAGCATTTCATGGACACCACAGCTCCACCTTCAGCAGTAGAGGCCCACTTAGAATGTGAAGGCTCACTGCAAGTTTTCTGAAACACAGTCACTGGTAGGCAAGCTGTCCTAAAGCATGTGATCTCTGGTATTGAGTTCAGTCCCAAGGACAATGAAAAGCAGCTACGCTCAGAAGAGGAGGGTCAGTTGTGGTACAGGGGGATTTCTTGGGGCAGCAGCATAGAAGAGCCCTAGGTAATCAAGGGGTTGTCTTAATTCTTCTGGGTTTGTATATGCTCCCTGCTTCCATAACCAGTAGTTTGGTTGGTTGCTTCCTGAGCCAGAAGTTGCCTCTAGGCTTCTGTGTTTAATAGCCACTAGAGGAGTCATGTCCATTATATTTTTTAGCCATTCTTGAATCTGTACCTCCAGCCTGTTACCACCAGCTCACAGGTTCTGGGAACAGTATTTCTTTAACTCACTTTAAACCTAGTTCCTGATCATTTTTGCTAGAGGCCCCACATGCCTTTTAGTTCCTTAGCAGTCAGAAATGCTGCACGATTCTCTCTTATTCATGTTCCCACACCTTTCCTAATCCTTAGCTTCCTGGACAAGGAAAGGATTCCCTCCACCTCCTTCTGCTTGCCCTTGCTGATTCATGGCAGAGTGCAGGCAGGACCCCCAGCACAGTGGTGGGGAGCAGGGCACTGTACCTGGAGCAGCAGTCCAGCCTTTTATCTGAGCCCTTCCCTCTCACCACTGGCCAGGCGTGACCTTGCTTCCTTCCTGGGAGCAGGGCCACTGTCCATCCTCCACCCAGCCTGCCCTCAAAACAGTGTACCTGTCAAGCGGACATCCACTGCAAACAGCAGCTCAGCAGATGGATCAATGTCTGTCAGTAAGCACTTGGTTTGGCCCTTGCTTTTGGCCTCCATGAAGGCGTTTATTTGCTTTGCTGCCTCACTTGGGTTTGTAAAGTCAACAGCTCGGACATAGAGAGCATCAGTGGAGGGCAGCAAATCCTGCACAAACAGTTGGTATAAAGGTACACCAGGAGCAGAAAACAGGCAGAGCATCTTGGAAAACAGAAGTTCCTCGTCCATGCTCTTGATGAGGCTTTCAATCATCCTCAGGCTGGAAAGGACTTTGTGTCCGTCCACCCTGGAGGTGCAGTCAGGCTCTCCAGAAGGGGGAACAAATCCCAGCAAACGCTGCAAATCAGCTGCTGTCTGGTTTGAGGCACCCAGGTAGAAAGATACCAAGGAGCCGTAAAGACTGGTTGGGGACAGGAGCACGTTTTGGCCCTGCCGTGCTTCCCGCAGCACGCTGTAAAACCGTGCACCCAGGATGTACACAAAGTGCTTCAAGTAGCTCAGTTTCTGCCTCCCCGGGACACTCAGGCTAGGGGCTTCCAGCTTGTCCTTGACATTCAGGTCATCTTCATAGGCAGCTGTGGTTTTGGACTCGATGGAGACTGGGACAAAAGTTTCCTTTCCCTCCTGGACGAGGCTTTCCAGCTCCTCACAGGTACTCTTGTTGAAAGAAAATAAATTGAAAGGGTGGACATAGACCCGGTCACAAGTCACTGCAGTGAGGCACGCCAACAAACAGAGAAGATCTGCTACCAGGTTCATGTTGAAAAATTGCTGCCACGGTGTCTATTGAAAGAAAAAGGGGAGAAGAAATAAGACTGATCAACCTGTTGTAAACACGGTTTCTCTTACTCGCAGTGTGAGGTGCTAGTGCTGAGTTGGTGTTACAAAGGCAGTAATTTTAGTATTTAATGCTGGCTGGTCTGACTCTACCCCCTGAAGAGCCCAGGGTGAGATGACCACTGGTTTCAATGGTGGCAGGTGGGGAAATGCTAAACACAGATTTTACTCCATTACCCACTGCAGTACCTTACCGACTTAGCATGGGAAGCAATATGATTGTGCATACCGACTAGTCAGGCTTGCAAACTAGAGTGTGCTAGTTCTGGCAAAATATTATAATAATGCAACTATATTGCTCCTGAGACCTGGTCAGAGCTATCTCTGCAAACTGCTGCCCTAAATCTTGCTGACATATGCCCAGGCTAAGTGATTTGTCTGCTGTTACGTGGGAGGTGGGCTTGGAAATCAGGTCTCTTAAGGTCTGACCACTGAATGATCATGCTTTGTATGACTAGTCAGCATAATACTTGGCACTAGCAGAGAGTTTTGTGTTTTCATAGCCCAGTTCATTCTAGCTTCTAGGCAAACACATTCCAGGCTTCGTTATACAAATGTGCTAACACTGAAACCACTTCCATAGCACCTTCTTTGTCTGAATACAGAGTTAAAAGGGGTAAGCTGAGTTTTACTCTACTGTACAGGCAGTCTTCTCCTGTGGTAAAAGACCACCTGCCACTCTTGATTTTTTTTGACAAGTAGAGAATTTTACTGGATGTGGGTATCACTGGTGTTTTGGCACAAAGGATCTGGTGCATACTGGGAATGAGAAAGTCATGGGCACACATACACACACATACTCACATAGGTGCAAACACACTGACAAATTTTGCATTTTTATTTTTCTAACTTTTGCTATATCTGATTTTTTGATAACTAATAGCTCTGCTGTACCTTTCCTGGAATTCTAGTATATGACTTTGGATTTGTGTATTTGAAATCCAAATGTGTTGGAAATTATGCACCTATAACACATTATTGGCCAAAACACTGTTATTCAGAGCTGTATTTTAATTATACTAGTAATTTTTTGTTTGTTGTAGCTCTGTTCACTCTCTTTTGCCCTTTCCAAGCTCTGCAGAGCTCATTGGATGGGCAAAATGCTAACAGCCTTGCCAGTAACCAAGTACTGCTCTCTGCCTTCTTTCTCCAAGATTTTTTGAGTCATGCCAGCCTGTCAGGTATTGTAAATCTGGCAGTTTGAGCCTTTTGAGAGGACACGGTGCAATGTCTGTCTCACCAACACTTTAATTTACACAGGCTGGAAGTGTCTGGGTTTAAATCCAGCCATTCAAGACCTGGCACCATCCTGATTTACAATGTATAACTATATTCATTTCACTGAGGGTTCCTCAACTGTTTCACGCCTAATAATACTCCAGTTTGCAGTATCACCACTCTCTTGCAAATAGCAAACCTGAGATGCACAGATGTTTGGTAATTAGGCATACCTTGCTAAGTACATATGCCTGCTAATGTATCTACATTCCCAGGCTGTAGGCTCCTGCCTAACATCTTGGTTTCTGCTGTTGTGATGGAGTTTCTGCTGTTGTGATCCCTCAGGATGTCTGAGCGTCTTCCTAATGGCTGTCTGAGGGTCAGGCCTGAAACTGTTTGCTACCCAGAGGCACTCAGGGGAGGACCCGCTGTAGAGCTCCAGCCCTGTGCACTTGCCCATTAACTCCCACCCTGTCCCCTAAACCTCTAAATTAGGGTGTAGGCAGTGGCAGTCGGTGCTGCTGTCCCCTCATGCTCCCTGCCCTGTCTTCACCTCCCCAGCCCCACTGGCAGCAAGTGACATGCATCACAGATCTTCATGGCTTATGATGGGTGAAAAAATTATCTTGGGAAGTGCCTTCCCAACTTCATCTTCAGTTAGCCCAGCCAAGGTGCTAGTGCATTTCTAGACTTCTTGCTGCACTTTACAGATTGGGACAACTCGGGAAATCAAACCAAAAAGCCACACTGCCCTTCCCACTCTGTCCTCTCCATCATATAATTCTTTTGAAGCATTTCTTAATCTTTCCTGTAGCAGCAGGGAGGATGACTCCGTGCCACCCAATCAGGCTGTGCCATTAGGCTCTGTTGGTGTCCCGGTGGTTACTTCTCTACAGATGCCAGAGCCCCCATGTCAGCTTTTTCTCATGAGCAGAAGCAAGAGGAGCAGTTCTCACTGCCAGCACTAACTTACACTAAGCCCCATCTTTGGAAAGCCATCATGCTTTATTTCCCTAAATAAGTCATCCCTGAGCCTTTCAGAAACCATGAAAACCTGAGTTGAATATCTGGCATTCAAAGCAAATCCAGTAAGTGTGCTTACTCGCCTCTGTCCGGGTGCGTGCCGCCCCTCCAACACCGTACCCCCTTGGGCAGGCTCCTCGCGACACCTCTTCCCCCTGGAGCGGGGTGGCGTGATTGCAGGTGGATTTATGCCCTTTCCATGGGAGGGCCCTTTCTCATGTCTGCGGTGGCATTGCACAAAGCTATTTTACATCACAGGCTGGGGGGCCAGAAAAAGTTAGCTCAGGCCAGACAGGACCCAATGAAACCTGAGCACGGCATAACACCGGCTGCATAGAAAGTTCCAGGGATGGATACACAACCTTTAACCAGATCCAGCACATTTGTGTAGCCTGTAGTTGCACATTTACTAAGACAGACATGGGCGTTTTACTGTGCATGGAACTGATTAAAGGACCTGAAAATAGCTCAGCTTGTTTTGTGCCAGACTGAAAGGAACGCAGATTTCTTTGTACCTGTGTTTGTTGTACAGTTGGACCAGATTTTTTTCTTCCTGGATAAACTGCCTTTAATCTCCACCTTGCAGTCTGGGTATCCATCAGTGAGTGGGATATGTAGACTACTGCTAAGTAAAATGATTAAGCTCTCAATTTTTACCCTTTCTTTCCCTCTTGATCTATCCAGAAGATCAAAAGTTTATTCTTTTTCGTCTTCAAAACAAAATGTGTTGAAAAGGAGAGGATGAAAGCTAGATGGATTAGATTGGCAGAGACAGATCACAGAGACTTCATCCCTCCCAGTCTCAGCTTCCCAAGTCCTGTTTGGCAAAAGGGGTGGGATTTGGAGATCTTCCTGCTGCTTTTGAAATAGCCCTCCAGTTTTTGTGTGCCCCTTCTTCCTCTTTAAGCAAATAAACAGTCAATCAAACCAGGGATGATACAGTTGGGTTAGACTGGGTCTCATTCAGTGCCCCTGTTATATAGTTAGTAATTAAAAATCCCATGGCTGTAATGGAAGTAGGGCTGATTTAATATCCATGCCCCAACTTTAGAGGTGTAGTTTGTGCTGTGGTGCCCAGTTACATGTTGGGTTCAAGGAGAGAGCCAAGAGAGATGTTTTCAAAAGTGCACCTGGGCAGTCAGAGCTGGTGGAACTGAAGTTGGAGACAGAGACAGCCAAGTCCTGCCAGCCTGAGTGCTGTATGCCAGGTGCCTAATGCCAAAGGGATGGCAAATTTCTGTTTCTGCAGCTCTACTTTTCATTTAAACAATCTGATTACCTTAGCTCTAATGAGGTCTGAAAGTGGTTCTGAGCACAGGCCCTGCATGACATGCTATTATGCACACAAAGCTTAAACAAACAGCTTGAAATATTCAAGGTGTTTTGTCCTCTTGCTGCTTGAGCATCTCAGTTGAGGAAGCATCTGGCAACAGAACAGTCCCTGTCATTTGTACCATCTCCAGACTGCTTATAAAATGCATACAGCCCAACCACAGATCCAGGCAACGGGAGAAGTAGTTCCTCCGTTAAAAATGCATGTTGTTCAGCTAAACGCTAAGAGAATGAGCTAGGTTTCAGGTTGCAATCCCCCTTCTTTCCCCTCTGCTCCAGAGTCCTTCCTGCAGGCAGGCTGGGGGAAAAAGCAGGTCCCTTAGAGGCTAGTGGAGTTGTGGGTGGGACGTGTGACAGCACAGCCCAAATCCACATCTCCTGTACCACCACCCATGCGGGTCTGCGTGAGGCACTGGGCACCAGCGGTGTGCACGAGCGGCCAGACCGTGCTGTGCCTGTGAGCTGTAGCTGGTCTGCTATATCCTCCTGGGTAAGGCTTGGACACAGCGAAAAAAGAAAGCCAGCCTGATATGCTCAGTATCGCAGATGCAGAAACAAAGGCTGTTTCAGTAAAGGGCACCTTGTGTTCTCTAAAACTCTGGAAAATATCCTTATTAACAGGAATTATTGACTTTGCCTAATAAACTACAAGTGATGCTGTAACTTACACTACAGCTTCCAGACTTACATGTTTGGTGTGGACAATAAACACTGGAAGGGGAAATCACATAACCCCCAGCCACTGTATTTTTTTTCCTTAAATCATTGTGTCTCTGAGCTGTAGCACAGAAGGCACTGTTGTTTGGGTATCACCTCCTGCTTCCAACTCCCCTGCGGGCCATGACCAAGTCATGCTGCAGCTGGTGGTCTCCTTTTGCTATAGGTACCAGCCCCAAGTCAGGCATCCCTGGCTGCAGAGGATAACCTCAGTGTGGCACTCTGGTGGCTCTGGCACATAAAGAAAGTTTAGTTGAAAGTTCTCAGGGTTTTCAGGCAAGTTGACCTTTAGGGCTCTTTTGGTGTTATGCACTCAGTTTTATTGTTTTCTGTCGACAAAAAAATTGTGAGTGTCTTTGAGAAGCACAGGAATCTTTCTTCCCGTCCCACTCTTCCCCCCATCAATAAAGTCATCGAATTAAAATACCAGCCTTCTCCAGAAAAAAGTTTCACCAGAAAATGTTCAATGACCCGCTTTCACTGTGCTGCTCCCCTCCTGCTTCAGATCACTGGGAATTTGGCTGGCCTCAGTAATGAGGGCAAACCTTTGATTTCACCTTACATTCATGCCCTACTACAAAGCTCAGACACAACTCCCCCCTAATTTGCTGGTCACTTATGCTCACCCAATTAGTATTCCCCTATTCAAATCCATCACGCACTAGTGCACCTCTTATCTTTGCCTTTTATCTTCTCGCAGTTTCTACTAAAGCCTTCAGACTATGGAGAACATAGACTGCTACACCTGGAACATGTATTATCCTAGTAGGACTTAATTAGTCTTTCATTTTACTTCTGAGCCATTTTTAAGCAGGAGTGCACGAGCATTACTCCAAATACTATATGTGGACCCTGTTGTTAGGCTGCTTTTTTTGGGGTGGGGGTGGGGTGCCATGGTTTTAGGAACATGCACGTGCTTAAAGATAGAGCTTCAGCTTCAGAAAGAAGAGAGTCTCAAGGCTGCCCTTCGGCTCCAGTGTCTGAGGATTTGGCTCCCTGAAGAGACCTGTGCCAGAAAACCTGCATTAGGCCAAACTTGGGCAAAAAACTTTCTGGCAACTAGGAACTGAGGCAGGTGAAAGCAGTGCTGTTCCTACAGGCATTCCCTGTGCAAAGCAAGCCCAGGGTCCACGCACATTTCCTAATGAATCTCTCCCTGCAAAAGCCGCGGTAAAGGTACAAAGAAACACAGACCTCTCAAACTTGCTCTTCAGCGAAGAGGTTCACACTCTCCTTTTGCCCCACTCTTCCCGATTTTGGAGGGGCACTCATCTCCCCCTTTTATACATGCTCTTGCATAAGCAGGGCCCTCCCTCCCTCCTCCCCCCCCACTGCCCTCATTTCTCTTCAAAACCTGCCTCTGTTTTTCCTGCTTGTTATTCATGGTAGCTGCTGAGAGGGAGCAAAGAGGGGTGGAAAAACACTGGTGCTGCAGTTACGGGTTCCTCTCCTTTACAGCCACACTCAAAAGGATCGGATCTCCTGGTCAGCCTCGCTCTTCTGAAGTGCTAATGGAGAAACACTCCCCCGCCCCATGAAAATTTCTCAGTAATGGTGCTGCTAGCACTTCTTCATGTAAATACTGTCAAATAGGCTTCAGATATTTTAACCCTGGCAGAGGAACACTAACTCTATAGGCAGCAGTGTGTAATTCAGACTTGAATGGGAAAAACAATTTTGACCGAGCTAGAATTTCAATTGATTGGCCAGGTGGCTCTTCTTCCGTTGAAGAACATCACGTCTCCACTCTGTTGAAAAGTGTTTTCATTGATCCAGAACATTCTGTGAAAAGCTGTATTAAATTCAGCACTTTGTGTAGAGATAATAGTAAATATTTTATTCTGTTTTCTTCAGTTTGTTTCAGCTTTCTCAAATTTTGCTCTGAGATACGAACTCAAAGGGGCAAGACATACTCCTATGATGATGTTCTTGTCTCCCATGAGGTTATGGTGAGAGTCACAGATGAGGGATAATAAATTACCCTGCTCACAGCCTCAGACCACAGACCTTCACATGGGCTCTTTGTAGGCTGAGTTGGCACGTCTGACCTACACAGATTATGACTTGATGTATGGCTAACTCAGACATAATAGCATGTACATGGCCATATATAATTTATTACTAAATTTGAGGGTTTCCTTTTTTAGGACTAAAAGTATTTTGAATGAGAAGTAGGCCACAAATAGTTTGTTTATACAACATGTGGATTGACGTCGGTAATTGTAAACATCTATACCCATCAACATTCATAATGTTCCCTCTCTCTTCTGCTTTGATAAGGGAAGACAACATGGGATCTGGACAAGGCACCCAAAGGAGAGTGCAAACGAGAGGATCTGACAAAAGGAAGACAGGGAATATCACTTCATCAACTGGTGCAGTGGTTGCTCCAGGTGTGGCAGGCAGTCATGACGGTAGAAGGACCACCATCTGTGGGACATCCAGGAAAAAAAAAACTCTGTAAAGCAGCCAAGTGCCTACAGAGACCACAATACTTCATTTTGGAAGAGAAACCACTGGTATGGGGAGTATAAATATAAAATGATGAAGGTGAACAGATAGTCCTGAATTACTGTTTTGTAAGGATGCCAAAATCAGCGGGTTCTCAGTAAAATTATCAGGCAGCAAATGTAAATTAAAGGAAGGGTCCTTTTGCACATATAAACTGCAGGGCACACTGCCATAGGATGCTGCAGAGACTGAAAGTCTTAGCTGGTACAAGAAGAGATTAAATGAAATCACAGCGGGCATGGCTATCGAAGGCTGTAGAACATGATGGCCCAGGTATGACTGCTAATGTGGGAAATCTCCAGACAGCTGGCTGTCATGAATTTTAGCTTGATCCATAAAACAGCTCTCGTGCTCCTCTCTAAGGGCTTGTCTTCAACCTGCAATGGAAATAGAGATGTCTGAGCTGAGGCTAGTTTATGCAGGCTCATTTTTCAGCACAGACTGGAAACAGTCTTTCAGTAGAGCTATACCAGTGAAAGATCACACCCAGCAAACCCAACCCTCAGTCTCGGTGTTGCTGGGCTGTGCTCCCATGCACAGCGTGTTTAGGAACCTGCTGCTATCTCTGCAACGGAAGCTCTGGAAAATATGAACAATTTTCAAAAACTGTGGGTAGGCTCTTAATATTTGTTAGCCACTTCTCTGTTTTTTTCTCTCTTAATCAGGGTGCATGTAGTAACTGGTGACAGAGTTACTGCACTGGGGTCTGAAATGTGTCTCTGTCTCATGCCAGACCTTTGGGCTCTGTTTTCACTTCAGCTGCACACAAAGACATGGTAACTTTTTTCCTGAGTAAATAAGTAGGGAAGAAGGGGTACATCTCTGGCAACGGGTCAAGGAGGTTTCTAAACATTAGTAAACCAATTTTCCCCCCATTCTGTGAGAAATGTGGCAAGCTGCCATAGGACTCATTTGTTTGTTTTTGCTCTCGCTGGTGGGGACTCTGCAAAGTAATGTGGTTTTTTACCATTTTAATAAAACTTTGATAAGGAATGGGTTTGCATGTGATTTTACCCATGTTTTCTATGTACACCTGACCTCTGCCCCTTGTTGGCTGAAACCACTTTTCTGTGAAAGCAGCTGGTGAGCATGGGGGATGTACTCAGCTTGCCCAATATTTTGTGTAAAGAGGATTGCAAAAATGCTTTTCAATAATAGCATTCAAAGTACAGATGATGAAAGAGAGAGATTATCCTGCTTCTACTGCAGGTTCTCACAGCAAGGAGCAGTGGAAAAATCGGTAATGCAGCTGCTACAAACTACAAGGACCACGTGTGCCACCCCTGTTCTGGGGCGGAGGGACACAGTGTGCTGGCCTAGATGATGCCAAAATGCACATGATGAGTGGGTGGCCAGAGAGCTGACTCAGGGAGCTGGGGCCTCCCTGAACAAGGCACGTGTGGCATGTTGCTCCCTCCTCACAGGAGGAGAGGTGCCCTGGCTGTGCCACCTGCCCTGGCAGTCACTGCCCTGGTGGTGCTGCAAACCCTCTGTGAGGGAGGAGGGAGCATCACCATCTCTGCATCTCTTTCTACTTCTCAAGGAACAGTCTCCTTGAGGGAGGTCTGTGCACTGATGATCCCCTATCTGTGGAGCTCTTCTAACAATTTAATACCCAAATGAGCTTATATTGACACTAGCATATGTTGTTCCAGCTTATAATTACATCTGGTTTGTTATGGCTTCTGTTTGCAGGCCCTGCATGTAGAGATTGCTTTAAGTTTTTGTAACCCTATTTTATTCCTCTCGCAGTAGAAGATGCAGTTTTTACTAGCATTCTAAGAACAGTCTATGCACAGCCTGCACATGCACACAGAAACATGACTGTGTGCCCACTCTATGTGTGGGCAAAGGGAACCTCCTACCATGAGGATCTCAAAATACTTTGCAGTCTAACAGCTATCTAACAGTGGATGATCTGTAATTGATTTTGGGTGCTTCCCTGTGGCGGGTGCTGTGCCTGTGAGGAGCAAAAGACAATCCTGGACCAAAGCTGCCAAGACAGAGTAAGCCTGTTCTAAGAGAGAAAGTGGACTGGAAGAGGTGACATGATTCACCTTCAGTCACGCAGCAGGTTGGCAACACCTCAAGAACAAGCAGCCAGGTTTCTTGACTCCCAGCCCAGTGTGTTACCTGTTTGATCATGCTGTATCTTCATCCCTTGGATGAGAGTTGCAAGGCAGAGGTGCAGGGATGGCAGTGCCTGCGCAGCGAGATGCCTGCCTCAAAAAGCTGGGGCCAGCTTTGTTACCAGAATTGATACACTTTTCATGATGCTCTCTCCTGATGGATGCCTTTGTGTCAGGGAGGGATTTTGCACTGTCCCAACATTTCCCAGTTGGTTCAGCCACTGAAGTCATCAAGCTCTTGCCCAAGATGAGTGAGGGAAGCAGCCAGGTGAGCATTGTCTGGGAGATGCCACAATCTTCAGCTCCCAATGGCTCCACAAAAAAACATCCTGCTCCCCTCAGTATTGCAAGGTTGCTGCATAAAGCTCAGTGAAGATTTATTCCCTGAGGATCTTCTAAGTGAGACCTTGGGAGGCTAATCTTTCCTGACATCACTGTGATGTTGAAACTCTCATTGCACTTTTTGGTTCCGAGCTACATTGTCCCCAGTGCACTATGTGCGATAGTTGTCCCTAGGCTGGAAATTCAAAGCACAGCCATAGATAGCTTTGGGAGCTGGTATACCCCTATTCCCTGAGCAAACAGGTTCCCCTTTCTCTTCTCTCCAGCTTCCCTCAAGCCACCTCTGACCCCTTCTCCTACTCTTCTGCCTGCAGCTTCTTGCCCTGGGCAGGCAAGTAATTGCAAGCAGAAGGACTCCACTATTTTGGCTGCTATTCAGTGTTCCCCTGTGAAGACTATCTGTGGTGGTCTCCTGCCTCACTCAAGGAGTGGTTTTTATCATATAGAGCTAATGCAGTTCAGCATTAGAGAGAAACAGACTGGCTTCTCCACTGTGGGGGTTACAGGGCTCTTCCATTTTCTGGATTTGTAGCCACTAAAAGGCAGCTCCCACAGAGCCCACCAGCTACAGGGGCAAAACTGCAGCTCTCTTGGGCCAGCAGCAGCAATTTTCACTGCTCCAGATATAATCTATAGTATGAAAAAGGACGGATTCATTTGCGACCTGAGAGAAGAGCGTGGCTTTCAGATTCACTTTAATTTGAAGGGTGCACAACTTGATGATAGCAAAATTGTTGGCCACGTTTGGCCCTCCCACTCTCAGATCCCGGCAGAAAGATGGAAAGGTAGAAAGCAGAGAGAGGGACTGAGGCAGGCAGCGTTACGTTAAGGCTGCCCGGGTTGCTAGAGCCTCGCTGGATCTCTCTCCTCGGGGCTCCCGCGCAGCCCCATCCCCTCCTTCAGGACCAGCTCCAGCCGTGCCACGCAACAGGGAACCAGCTTCCCACGCCAGCGGCCAAGGTGGAATCGCTCGCGAGTTCAAAGTTAGCAACAGAAGGTGAGCGGGGTGAAGACGGGCCCTAAGCCAGCCGGTTGCGGAACGGCGGGGATGGAGGCTGTTCCCTCTCCCGTTAGCCGAAGCTGCCTCCGTGCGGAGCGGCGCCGCATCGCCCGCCGGCAGCGCCGGGGGAGTTTGGAAATGTTATTTCCTTACTGCACTTTGTTAAACCCATAATTCTGAAAGAAAGAGGAGGGGAAACTTACGTTTATACCCAGTGGTGGTTTTTTACAGGAAATAATGAAAGAGCTTGTAATGGAAGTTTCTGGGGTTTCAATAAGTGGCAAAAATCAGTCTTCTTGCAGGTCAGAATTTCCT